AAAAAAGTGGTTGACCAAAAACCGATTCGTTTGTAAAGTCAACCTTTTTTGATGATTTTTTGGAATATCTCGGCCAAATAGTGTTCGATTTGAGAATTTTATACCATTTTGGACTCGTAAGGATCCGTACTTTTTTGATGATTTTTATTGAATATCTCGGGTAAATGCTGTCAGATTTTGAAATGTTATACCTTTTTTAATTCGTAGGGATCCCTACTATCAATCTGCATTCAAACATTTTTAAATTCGATGTGTTAAAAAAAGTGGTTGACCAAAAACCGATTCGTTTGTAAAGTTAACCTTTTTTGATGATTTTTTTGAATATCTCGGCCAAATAGTGTTCGATTTGGGAATTTTATACCATTTTGGACTCGTAAGGATCCGTACTATCGATTGGCATCAAAAAAATAAAAATCTAATTTTTGACCAAAATCATCAAAATGGTAAGGGGTTACATCACATTTTTTCTCAAATTCGGTGTCGGATCGAAAATCGAAACTTTTTTGATGATTTTTATTGAATTTCTCGGGTAAATGCTGTCAGATTTTGAAATGTTATACCTTTTTGAATTCGTAGGGATCCCTACTATCATTTTAAAAATCGATGGGTTAAAAAAAATGGTTGACCAAAAACCGATTCGTTTATTTTTAATGAATATCTCGGACTCATTTTTTGTTCGCTTAAAAGATGTAATATGCTTGTTTTTACTTAAAATTAATATGCAAATATATCTTCCATAAATTAATGAAAATATTCTACATAATGATATTGATATGGGCGTATCTATGGGCTAGGCTTAATATATTAATATTTTAGCAAACTGCACGATTTATCCATTAGGCATTTGGATGTATTTGTAATTGCATTTTTTGTTCAATATACATATATGTATGTGCATTTGGCCAGCAGAAAATCTCTTAATGGCCACGCCAAACAAAAAAGGGCCGAAGAATATGCCACATTTTAAGAGGCAACATTTGTGCATCAAAACCAAACGACAGCCAAAAAACGGCGTATTTCAAATAAATAGAAAAAATAAGCTTAAATGCCACTTAAAGCGGCTAAAAGCTGTACAAAAAAAAAACAGGCCACAAAATGACAGCAAGCAACTGTTTGTCCAACTCGATTTCCTTTGGGAACGTCACAAATTGTGTTTAATATTTAAGTGAGAAGTGTTAACAATGCGAAAGAAAACTGTCTTCAGTCCAGGCTTAAACCCCCGCCGTTAGCCACGCCTCTTAATGAGTTGCCCTGCTGACTAACAATTGCAGCCATTGTCAACATCAGCTGATTAAACTTCTCAACTCTTCCCCCCCCCCCCTCCCCCCCTCTTTCACTCCAGAGCCTGCTGAAACTGCATTGAGAAAATGGCGCAGACCAACACGAATGTCGTGTGGCTTTGTTTTTCTTGCTCTGCCGAGTTTTTCGTAATTAATATTAATTAAAAAGTTCTTTGCAACATGCTGAGTCCAGTTCAGTGAACTCGAGTGGCACGAAGAAAAGATAAAATAAAGCAGATTGAGCGGGCAAATTAAAGAATTCATTCTTGGCTAGACCAAATGTGTTGAAAGCTTTCAAGCCACTTTTTGAACAGATAATAAAATCATCATTTTTTCTATAACACAGGGCTTAACTGTATCACGCATACGCCATGTTGCTTCAATTTACATTTCAATTTAATAATGAATTATATAAAACGCAACCAAATTGTTGCATAAACCGTTACGTGCCATTTGCACTCTCTTCTTCTTTCAATATACACTCCAAAAAAGATTTCGACTTTTGCCTGCCGCCTTTGCACCCTCTGCCACCGAGCGCTGCCGCCGACAACAGCAAAGCGTTTACCGACATTTTGTTTTGTTCCGCACATTCGCCACATGGCCGCCAGAGCAAGGGAGAGAGCACAAACTGAGAGTTCTGGCTTTCCCCTGAATCGCGCATAAGATAGAGCGTGATAGAGCGAGATAAATAATTTCGCTTGCATAGTGTACTCTTTGCTCCAGTGCCGAGGGTTTTTTGTTGTTATGTTTCGCGGTTGCGGCCGACAAGGTCATTGGAAGGCGTCTCCTGGCTTGCGGTTGCCTATGAGTCTTAGCCAAATACAGGGTGTGCTGTGCGTCGATAAGAAATAAAATTAAATATGTTGATATAATTACCATGAAGCAGGTCATACTCCACTTAAAATATATTAGAATTTGGTCTGTAGTTATCACTATTCCTTTTTTTATGTGTGGGTTAAGTATTTTTTTTCATTAAACTATTAAGACAAATGGCATTTAAAAAGTTCATAAAAATTTATACAGGCAGTAAAAAAAAAACTTATTAAGATTCAAGTCCTTCACAGCCAATGCACAAAAAAATAAAACAATAAGTATTTATCACGTGAACGCGCTGTTACAAATACAAATGACAGATAAACAAATCCGCAGGGCCAGAGAGGGGAACATAACAAAAAAATAAAGAGAAAGAGAGCGAGAGCGAGAGATTAATATTTTAAAGAAGAACGTTATAAAAACAAAAACAAAACAAGCCGATGATGAGCTGCATTTGGTGTTGTTGCCTCGGCAATGAATGAATGAAAATGACACGAAGTACCGTTGCTTGACGACCCGAAGCTGCTGCTGCCAATAGCGCCGCGATTCGGTTGGCATTCGCTTCGCCCTGCTTCGCTTCGGTTCGGGTTTAGTTCAGTTGCGAAGTGGCGACGCGCTTGTGAACAGCACATGCTAGTGAGTCCGGGCGGAGTCGCAGTACGTGCCCTCAGCTAACAACAACTAACTATCCGTGCGCTATCTTTCAATCGGTTTAACGGTATCAGTGACACCAATCTGATTCACAGTTGGCGTGCCGTGAAATTGCGTGTCCCCTGCAAAAGTGTGTTCCGCGCCAGAGCAAAGCCAGTTATCTGTTCTTTTCGGTATTATCAAAATTCCCAAAAATTGCATATTAGCACATGTGCATGTTAACTGGCGTTGACTGTCAGTTAATTTGAATTTTGGATTTGTATTGGCGCGCCGTTTTGAATATTTTGTGTCCTTGTAAAACGCGACAGCTCGCATGTCGGACTGCATGCAGCCTGCACCCAGGGCATCCGGCAGCTGAGCCAGTTATGTCACCCGCTTTGAGTCCACCCCCCCCCTTCCCCTCCCCCCACTGTCAGTTGGGTTTAAAATTTCCATTCACTCTTGTCTCACGAAGCGAAAATTATGAGTTGTGGGAACATATAACATCCATGGGTTCAGTTACTATCCGGGTTTTATAACGAGATGAGGACAACATGTAACATGCAAAGTCTTACATGTCTTGCATGCACAATATATATGTCAATAACAGACGCGGACAAAGGGCACTTTTCAAGTGATTCGCAGCGAATAGTTAGAAAAACTTTGGTATCAATTTAAGTAAATACAATAATTAATGAAATAACATAATTAAGGCATTTAAACAAATAAGGGCCTATAAATGAATAGACTCAAGTGGAAACTTTATCAATATGATGAGTTGATTAGCAAAAGCACAGGCAGGCAATTGTATTCTTTGCACTCACAATACATGGCCTCAGGCACCCACACATCCACACACACACACACACACACACAGATAGACAGAAAGTTGAGGCTGAATCAGACAGTGACCCGACCCAGTTCACCCGTCGCCCTCCCCCACCAATGGCTGGCACTTTGACCTCAATTAGATTTGACTCGCGTGTAATTATTTGCAATCAGTTTGCGTGAGGTGGCACGCAAACGATTGAAGCCATGAAAAGCCGTGAAAGCTCAACAGAAATCCATACATAATTGATTTAATCAAAATATGGGCTAGTATGACTTGCTTGCGCTCTGGCCGAAACAACAATAATCATAATATTTTCTCTCTGTTATTCTTTTTTTCGCAAAAAAACAGAACGCGTAAATAAGGCGAACATTACTCATACGCCTCGTTGTGCAAAGTCGATCGCAGAATTATTCTGTAGCTAAAAAAAAGAATTGTATACGTAACGGAAAAGAGTGCGAGCTATAAATATTATATCTGAAATAATCTGAAAGAAATTCTAAAATCTGAACAAATGGATCACAAAGCAATCGCAAGTCAAGTGCGAGGTGAGCTAAGTATGGACGATAATTGATTTTCCTATTTCTTAGTGTGTATGAATTAAATTCAAAATTCATTCAAAATTATGTATAAAATATGACTAAAAATTATATCAAAATTCGGAAATATTGAATCTATATACACATACATTGATTGTAAGCTAAAGTAAATAAATACGTAGCACAAGTTTTTGATTTTCTAATTACTAAATAAAATAAATTCATTCAAAATATGAATAAGAATTATATCAAAATTGGGAAATATTCAATCTTTGTGCACATACATTGATTGTAAGCTAAAGTAAATAAATACGTAGCACAAGTTTTAGATTTTCTAATTTCTAAATAAAATAAATTCATTCAAAATATGAATAAGAATTATATCAAAAATCGGAAATATTCAATCTATGTGCACATACATTGATTGTAAGCTAAATAATAAATTTGTAGTTGCACCTTAACAAGTACAATTTTTTGATTTTTTATTTCTAAATAAAATAAATTAATTCAAAATTATGTTAAGTCAAAAAAAGTATGAAATATGAATAAGAATTATATCAAAATTGGGAAATATTCAATCTATGTGCACATACATTGATTGTAAGCTAAATGATAAATAAATATGAATAACTATGTAGTAGCACCTGAACGAGTATATCTTATCGATTATATGTGACTGCAAAAACGATAAAGTATGAGTAAAAACAAAAAGCAAAATAATTTGGCTTGTTTAACAATGGAAATAACACATGAAATAACATTTCCGTTAATATGAATACTTTTTTAACAAACTGATAATTGACTCGGCAGTTTTTTGTAAACATTGCTCCGCAGCTGTAGTTCAGGTTTCAGCTGAAATAATTTAATTATAAATCAAATTGAGCAGAGAAATAACAATACTGTCAAATTATACTAATTAAATAGGTTAAAGGCAGCAGAATGAAAGAGTAGATGAATCAAGCCAAGCCAACCAACAATAAAAATAAATTTAAAGGCATTTTCCAATCTAATCAACACGCGCATTTTGTTTATTTATTGCCGACCACAGGCGGCTTTATTGGAATTACCAAAACACATTTCTTATCGATGTGGCAAAGTTATTATCACGTTTACATTTATTTCAATTGCGTTTGTTAATTTCAGTCATCTAACGAATGTTTTCATTATTATTTTTATTATTTAATTTGCATTCGCTCAAACGCAATTTGTATAGAAAAAAAAATCACGTGAGGCTGTTTATTGGCTGTTTATAAAATTTCTATAATAAACTTATAAAGTCCTTCGAGAGTAAAACTCATGTCTCCATTTTTATTTGACAAGAGACACGCATGAGCTGAAGATGTGACAGATGTGACAAGCTCGCATCCGCTTCCGTTTCAATTCCAATTGTTGTCAAGCTGTGCACTCTTGAACTTGACAGATTTCGAGTGTTGGAAAATACATGACAATTACGCTTTATTGGTGTATGACAAGTGTTGTATAGAAAATCTCAATGGCAACAACTTGAAATTCAGCTAAAGTTCAACTGGATTTGGACTTTTCACATCTGCCTTTGTATTTGGGAATGTGTGGGAAAAACATTAGGAGATGTGTTGGAAAACACATGACAATTACGCTTTATTGGTGTGTGATAAGTGTTGTATAGAAATTTTCATGAAACTTGAAATTCAACTAAAGTTCAAAGAAATTTGGATTATTTAGGCTGTTTTTCTTTTCATTTCCCTTTGTATTTGGGAATGTGTGGGAAAAACTTTAGGAGATGTGTTGGAAAACACATGACAATTACGCTTTATTGGTGTATGACAAGTGTTGTATAGAAAATCTCAATGGCAACAACTTGAAATTCAGCTAAAGTTCAACTGGATTTGGACTTTTCACATTTGCCTTTGTGTTTGGGAATGTGTGGGAAAAACTTTAAGAGATGTGTTGGAAAACACATGACAATTTCGCTTTATTGGTGTGTGATAAGTGTTGTACAGAAATTTTCATAAAACTTGAAATTCAACTAAAGTTCAAGGAAATTTGGATTCTTTAGGCTGTTTTCTTTTCATTTCCCTTTGTATTTGGGAATGTGTGGGAAAAACTTTAGGAGATGCCAACTTATCAGCCTTGTTTACGTCTGTGTGTGCACATGAAACTATTTACAAGTTTACCAACTCAATTACATTGGCAATCTGCAGACTAGCCCAATACGAGCCCAGAGCAATGCCTGAATGCCGTCATGCAATTATCAAACAGCCACAGACAACAAAGGCTACTCGGGGAGCTAACAAAAGCAAACAACAAATGTTGTATGGGAAAAACTTTTACTTGTACTCTTTAAATGAAAGGAAATTGAGTCAAATTTCATGGCCCATTGTATGCAAGAGGGTTGCTGGGGCCTTTACCCGCCTGGTAAAGCTGTCAAGTGGTCGTTGCAATTAGTCCGTGCGACATTTACAGATTGCATATTTTCTGCCCGGCTGCACGCATCGTGTTTGGTCACCGGAAGTCGGAAGCGGCGGGAACTTTACTTTGTCTTTGTCCTGATTTAATTTTGCAATTAAAAACTTTTCATAATTACAAACGTCAACACTTTGCATGGTTGATTAACGTTGGCTTGTTGTCAGGCCAACAAAACACTTGGCACTCGAGTCGCAACTACCAGCCACGCGCCGAGGCCGGGCAGTTGGCCAAAAGGACGACAAATAACTAGAGCAGAATATCAGGTACGGGGGTGTTCCGTATGCCCCTTTACCGGGTTGACAGTTGATGGCTCAAAAGTTGGCGTTGCCTCTAATTAGCAAACATTTACGCTGCTTCCCAATTTATTTCGTGTCCATCACGCGGATAACTTACCCATTAAACGATGCACGTACACTCGCTCGATGATTTTCTTCCCATCTAGTAATAGGAGAGAGGCAGAGACTTATAAAAACACATCACTGAAAGAAAAAATAGGAAGAGAACGTATTAAAGTTGATTGAATAGAAAACTCTCTAATAAAATAAGAAAGAAAGAGAGAGTGGGAATTGCACAGATTAAATTATAGCTAGTGTATGATAAGGCGTATAAGATTGCAACACAACTTGTTAATTAACTAATTCTTGAAGCCTTAATTTGATTTCTTGAGAATCGCATAGTAGAGCAATGTATAAAAATACGTTTTACTTTAATTTGCGAAGCAGCGGAATGTAAAACTTGTTTGGGCTTAATATAAGATAACATACATGCATGCATACATACATACATACATACATGCATATATACATACATTCATACCTACATACATACATACATACATACAGACAAACATACATACATACATACATACATACATGCATACATACATACATATATACATGCATACATACATACATACATGCACACATACATACATACATACATTCATACATACATACATACACACATACATACATATATACATACATACATACATATATACATACATACATACATACATACATACATACATACATACATACATACATACATACATACATACATACATACATACATACATACATACATACAAGCATACATACATACATACATACATACATACATACATACATACATACATACATACATACATACATAAATACATACATACATACATACATACATACATACATACATACATACATACATTCATACATACATGCATACATACAACAACAAATCACACCAAACCAAAAAAAAAAACACTACACTACTAGCTAAGCATGAAAAACTGCAGAGCCTACTTGAATTCTTGAGAATCGAGGAGAAGAGCACTTGCTAGAAATTCGTTTTATTTAAATTTGGAGCACACCGACAAATAAGCGTGGTCTTCGTTTGGTATCAGAAAACAAAACAGCATGCACACATATGTACATAAATGCATACATACATGCATGCATACACTAACACACACACGCCCACGCACACACAAACGCATATATAAAACTTATATACCTATATGTACAAAATACTTGTATCCTATATAGACATAGGCCAAAAGTTCGTGTTCAAATTTATATCCAAAGATCTATACGAAAAATCGCTTTCATACATACACACACATATGTAAATATACACAAATAAACTTTTAGCAAATTGCAAACAGAAATTGTTATTATAGTAAAATACTTAGAATCATAAAAATCTACAAGCCTTACTAGAATTCTTGAGAATCGCATAGTAGAGCAATGTTAAACAATACAGTCTACTTGTTAAACTTGTAGTTTAACTTGTCTGAGCTTGGTATAAAATAACATACATGCATACACATATACATCCAAAAAAAACATACACATTTAAATACATACATATACGAATAAACAAACATATGTACATACAAGCAAATGTAAATACACCACAAATTAACTTTAGCAGACTGCCAACAGAACTTGTTTACAAAATACTAAGAAAAAAAGCATAAAAAGCTGCAAACCCTACTTTAATTCTTGAGAATCGCATAGTAGAGCGATGTTCAAACAATACGGTTTAATTTAATTTTCAGTATATAAACATGGACTGAGTTTTGTGTAAGATAACTTACACGCATGCAAACATGTATAAATACACATATACACTAATATATACATTTAAATTTAAAGACAAACATGGATAAAGAAATACATACGTACATACATACACACATGCATGCATGCATACATGCGTACATACGTGCATGCATACATGTGTGCATACATGCGTGCATACATGCGTGCATACATGCATGCATACATGCATGCATACATGCATGCATACATGCATGCATACATGTGTGCATACAGACATGCAACATGCGAAGAAATGCAAATATGTTGCGGGTATTACCCGGGCTTGCCAAGACGGAATATTACGCTTTTAATTATACTTTACGTCTACTAACTATTTCCAAGATTTATCTACATTTAAAAATGAGTTTATGTAAAATTTGCGATTGGAATTTTTTAAATCCTGCATGCGTACCAGCGTGCACTTACATGACACATGTTGACTGCAGTTTCTTAGCATTTGCGGTTTGAGCTTCGCGTTAATTGCCAATCTGTCAGTCAGTCAATCAGTCAAGAAAAATTTTGCTTGTGCGCTTTTCCATGAATTTTCCCTACAACTCAAAGGAAAACTGAAATGTATGTCAAAGGCGACCGCAATATGTTATTATGTCATCCTGAGGTCCAATAGAGGCGAAATATTGGTGTCAATGTGTCAATATGCCAGGTGTTAACACGTACGCAATTACAAGCCATACAAACACCTACACAAGCCATTTCCGAGTGTTAGTTAGCGTGTGTGTGTGTGTGTGTGTGTTGGGTTTTAACAGAGCTGCAAACGGAAATACTCCACACACACACACACACACACACACACAAAGGCTCACATCATTTAATGTGCATAAAAGATTTTGTATAATTTAACTGCAAAACTTTTCTGCAATTGGAAAACTATAAACTTATGGCCAAAACGTGGTAGAAAATCAAGTCAAAGGCAAGTTTGATCGATTTGGCATTGAAGGCATTTTAAAGGTCGCAACGCCAGAACTTAGACTAAGGTCTTGTCTTCGAATGTAAGGTTATCGTCCCAAGGACACACACAGCCTTAATTGTTGTGCCAGGCACACACACACACACACACACACACATGGCTTAAGGATAAGCGGGATAAGAGCAAAGTCCAAGCTGAATCGTAAGCAATTTCCGCTCAAGTTTAAAGCAGCCAGCCGCAGAAACCTAATCGCATTGATGCCACACACACACACATATATATATATATAATCACACACATGTATATATTTATTTTCATATAACAGTCATAACAATTTCTAAAGATTTTCCTCGCTCTCGATTTTGCCGCTTTTACGCTGTGGAAATTTACATTGAAAATCACGCAGTTTCTGCTGAAGCGTCCTTGGATTTTATGACTGTTTTTTTTTGGGGTTTTATTTTTGCTTGATGCCCTTTCTGAGGGTATGGTAAATATGTCACGAAATGTGTGACATTTCTGACTCTTTAAAATATATCCGTCTATCTTTTTCTAAACAAGCCAATCTAAAGCCGGTTGGATCGGATTACTATATCATATAGCTGCCCTAGGAATAATCGGCCAAAAATTCAGTTTTTGTATAAAAAATTTTGCATTTATAAATATATTTTAACTAGGCATTTTATATTTTTAATACTCTTTGCATATGTGCAACATTTTATAAAAAACTTTTTACTATATTAAATATTATTATATATAAAAATAGATATTTCCTAGAGAAAATTATACTTTTTTTTTAGATATTTAAATATATCTGTCAGCAATAAAGACATCTGCAAAACTAAATTAAATCGAACTTCTATTTTATATGGCTCCTATAGAAACAGTCTGTCGTTTAAAGGGTATTTGATGTTCGGCGTGCCACCTTGTTTATTTTTATGCATATTTTTGGGCTTTATTTCTATATTTTCTATGCGAATCTGCTCCAAATGGGCAAAGAACTCTTTGTTGTCTAAGCTGGAATGTATAAATTACACTAAGCAATCAAAATTTATTTATTTTCCTAGCAGTAAGAAAAGCCTTGGCCGTATCAAGTTTTGTTTATTAACTTCAATTTCTTTTTTTATTTCTTTGCAGACCTACGCACAGCATTCGATCTGTTGGATAGAAACCGGGATGGACGCGTTACCGCAAATGAGTTGCAGTTCATGCTCAAGAATCTGGGCATAAATGTGCGCGATGAAATTATTCATGATCTCATACGTGAGGCGAGCCATTCAGGTAAGTGCCACTTGCACCTGCACTCGGTGCCACAAGAGCGACATTTTAGCTAACACAAATGTGGCCGCAAAGCCAAGCAACAGTTTGCTGTCAACAGCCCCCCCTTTAAGAGAGATTGTGTGAGTGTGTGAGTGTTTGTGTGTGTGTGTGTGTGTGTGAGTGTGTGTGAGTGTGGGGAGAGGTATATTTGAACAGTTGAACAGGTGGGCATGCTTTGCCTTTTCTGAAGATAATCTAATAACAAATCAAATATTGCGTATACGCCGAGTAGGCTTCTATTTTTTGTGCGTAATTCGAATTAAAGCTACAAGAATTTATCGTAGTCCCATATAATATTCCCTTTTTAAATTCTCTCTCATCCCTTCGCTTCAAACATTTTATCAATTGTCTTTGTCTCTGCTAAAGACAATCTAATATCAAATCAAATATTGCGTATACGCCGAGTAGGCTTTAATTTTTTGTCTATGATTCGTATTAAAGCTACAAAAATTTATTTGCAGGTCTATAATATACCCTCTTTTAAATTCTTTTATCACTTCGCTTTAAACATATTATCTAAATATAATCAATTGTCTTTTCTAAAGACAATCTAATATCACATCAAATATTGCGTATACGCCGAGTAGGCTTCTATTTTTTGTGCGTAATTCGAATTGGAGCTATAAGAATTTATTTGTAGTTCTATAATATTCGCTTTTTTAAATTCTCTCATCACTTGGCTAGACAAATTTAATGAATTGCCTTTGTCTCTTGTAGAGCTAAAATAATATCAAATCAAATATTGCGTATACGCCGAGTAGGCTTTTATTTTTTGTCTACGATTCGAATTGGAGCTATAAGAATTTATTTGTAGTCCCATAATATTCCCTTTTTTTAATCATTTAATTATTTTTTAAATTTTCTATATTTAATTATTAAATAAATGATTTAATCAATTGTAGCATTGGCCATAATAACATTGCGTATACGCCGTGTAGACCCTCCATTTTCTTCGTTTGCATTGCAGATATGATTCGAATGCGAGACTTAAAAATGAGTTCTTTAACATTTGTCTCTTTTTTTCCGTCAGTTGCACAACCCGCTCAATCAGAGCTTTTGATACCGGGCTCTATTGGGACTTTAAATCGATTGCGGACTTTAAAGCCGTATGCGCGGCCAATGCGAATCCGCACTAAGCCAATTTGCAAAGTTTTTTCATTTTTCATTTACTCGTTAGCTAATGCAATCTGCGTTATAAAAAAAAAATAAAATAAAAATGCCTCATTTTATTAGCTTTAAGCCATGGCAATGGTCAGGTCCAACAGACTGGAAGGCTCCTGCTGTTGTCCTGTCCATTTTCCACTGGCATTTGCCTTGTGACCGCACATTGTTGATTTAATTTGTGTGATATTTTTGTTTTTTTATTATTGCTTTTATGCTGTTAGACAAATTAAATGATGTCAGCCAAGCGGAAAATGCAATTTGCAATTTCATATCGAATTTAATGCCTATTTATAGTTATAATTTCTGATTATTGCACAAGCGAAAATTAATTATTTCCACAAAATTTATTAATTAACGTCAACATAGTTCACCAAATGCATAAAAAGCTTATCACAAATGGATTGGGGAGCTGCTTTGGCTCGGACAAAAGCCGCAAATTGAAATCACAGTCACGCACAGTTCGCATTTGATATTGCACCTAACAGCACTCACACACACACACACACACACACACATAGACAGGCGGGCATGTGCAACGCGAAGAGGCAACTGTTGCTGACAGCACTCGAGACTTGTTTTGATGCCTGCCACTGACAGAGACGCCGCAGGGTTCGCTTTGCACATGCAGAAACACATTTCTATGAAAGCACTTTTAATGTTGGACAACAAAAAACCTCAGACAATGACACGTGATTCGAGTTCGTAGAAACATGAAAAAAAGGCAACAAATCAAATAAAATAAATCAAAAATAAAGTTGCCTGTTCCTGTTGCAATTAGAAGCCAGCCACAAGTCAACTTGGATAACAAAGCTTAATTAATGCTTATTGCATGGAAGGATTATATTTACTTGATATTAATATTTGTTATCCACCTTTATAAAACGCAACCGAAGACTTTGTAGTTGCTTTAACGAGGTAGAAAAGTTAAATATAGTTTTGTCTTACTTAAAATGGTTAAAAGGGTATATTAGTTTTGTGCAGATGTATGCAACAAGCAGAAAAAGACTTCTTTGACCTCATTAAGTACTTATCCAAGTCGATCTAGCAACGATCTAAAAGATTATAAAAACTACAGACTTGAAACGTATAATAACCCGATTCCACTATGCTCAAAATATGTAACATTCACAACATTTCACATTCTGCGATTCCATTGTCATTAACATGTGAACGACAAAAGTACTGCTACTTTAAATAAAGAGCTGCTCGCTTGATTTGATTTATAACCCGATTCCACTATGATCAAAATATGTTACATTCACAATATTTCACATTCTGCGATTCCATTAGCAAGTATCACAGTTCTCGGTAACATGTGAACGATAAAAGTACCGCTTCTTTAAATGAAGAGTTTTCAGTTTAATTTGATTTATAGCCCGATTCCACTATGCTCAAAACATGTTACATTCACAACATTTCACATTCTGCGATTCCATTGGCAAGTGTCACAGCTGTCGGTAACATGTGAATCGCAAAAGTACCCCTTCTTTAAATAAACAGCTGATCATTCTGATAAAAAAAATGTAAGAAATGTTGACAGTGGAATTAGGCTATAAATGTAGCTCCTCCTATTGCCTACACAGATCAAGTTTGCTTCAAATCATGAGTAACTCGTCGCGTTTCTATAAAATCGATAAAAATCGATATCGTCATTCAGTTATTTCTTGATATTTAGAGCTTATATGAGCTAGATACGAGAGAGAAACTTGCCATATTTCCTCTCATAGGGCATACACATATCCAGAATATATATTACATTCCCTTCAAAATGTTAGAAGCTCATTTTTGATGGTATTTTGTATGAACAAACATGTTTAAGCCACTTTAAGCCCAGGAATTTTTATAAATATAAAAATTTCCTCAACAAATATTGGAGAAGAAGGAAGTTTTTTTATTTTCGTAGCTTAAGCTCGACGCTGGGTACAGGATATCTCGAAGCCAGGCACTCCCCTTCCAGCGAACTCTTACTTGTGTTTCCAGGTTTTTACTTGCTGTTTTTTTCTATTTTCCATCAAACTTGCCACAAAAGCGTTGAATGCCACGTAAAGCGCACACTTTATGGCTTCATTTACATTCGTTGGGTTTCATTATTGGCCCTGATTTAGATGTTAGTGGAAAAACCCTATAGAAGTGGCCCCAGTTCTACCAACTCCCCCCCCCCCCCCTCCCCATTAATATTTACTAGGTTATTTATGTGCGTCTTTATTGGGAACGGAGCTGTTGGACCTGAAGACCTCGGGGTCAATTGTCGCATAAAACTGGGCCACTTGCACTCACATTATGTGTACTTTTCGACAGGCAACGAAATGGGCTTTTTTATTTTCATCCCAAAGACAATTAATTAACGCTAAAAATGGCGGAAAAGTTGCCCGTCGCGAGTCTCTCTAGACTAAAAGTCTACTTTAAATGCATTAAACATATTTAAATGCTTTCTGCTGTGCATATTGGCTTTTGCTTGCTGACCTGCACACACACACACACACACACACACTAACACACACACGCGAAGCTGTTCAATCTGTTGGCCAGGCCATTAAATTGCGGTTGCGTGTTGGCGACTTGTTAAGTGCCAAAAGCCAAACAGGCAGCATTTAGCTTAATGTGGTCACTGTGCGTGTGAGTGTGTGTATGTGTGTGTGTGTGGGTGTGTGTGTATGTGTGTCTGAGAGTGTGTGTAAGTGTGTGTGAAAGTAGCTTAGCTTATCCATACTCTTCAATTTTGTTTATTCCTTAAATATATGCGCAACTGCTGCGAAACATTTTCAACCTTTGAACTCTTTCTAGCCACAACCTGGTCCACTTCCCCAGCGCTAAGCTGTCGTTACAAATGTTCTAGCTTCCCCCTATGCCATACACATTATTATTATTATTATTATTATTATTTCTTGTTATTCCCTTTGCCCACCCAATAGAAAATATTTGAATTCGGTCTGATTCTTATGAAAAGTTCAGGGCTTCAATTAGGGTATTTCGTGTTAAATGAGGGAAAGAGTTATGATAACAAACGTTGTCCCAAAATGGATATTTATCGATATTAAGGTAAACTTAATCTAGCTCTTAAAGTATCGAAGATTGACGCGTTTAGGCAGATGGGCAAAAGTAAGAACAAGGCTAGATCAATTCTTTCGTGTGGAAAGAGGAAAGGAGGAAAACCTTGTCTAAAATCGATATTTATCGATATTATGCTAAAACTATTCTAACTGTTAAAGTTGCCGAGATCGACGCACCTTTACAGACGAAAACGGCTAGATCAAGTCAACTCTTCGTCCTGATCAAGAATATTAATGCTTTATAAAGCCCTTCTCTCCTTTTAAACCCAATTCGAATGGGTTCAGGCTATAATCAACGAATGGAAGGTTCAAAGCGCAGAGATTTAAAAGTGCCTTGGTTGAGTAAATTTACAGGAATTAAACTGAATTAAATTAAAGAAATTCAAATAGAATTTCGAAATCCCGAATGCAGCTCAGAAAAAGCACCTATTTTTTATATGAAATTAATGTGTTGTGTGCTGCCTTGCGATCTAATTTATGTACATATATACACACACACACACATGCACAACGTACCTGCTTTATTGGGCTATAAACTCGTAATCCTCAGCGCATATGTTTATAAGGACGAAGACAGTGCTCAATGTTTATTGCATGTTTTCCCAGGCAAAATGCACTGAAATTGCGCAAACACACGTGTGGAGTAGAGAGGGGGGGGGGGGGGGTGGGTGAGATGGGGGGGGAAGAGGGGAGAGAGAGCAGGAGAGAGGGGAAGAGAGTGGGAGAGGCGAAGACAGCTGCAGCGAACGGGCAGCAATCAAGCTTTTGCACCTACACACTCACACACACTCACACACACTCACACACTCTCACACACACCTGCACACACACAGAGAGAACAGTTTGTCGGCAGACTTCCGTTTCCGCTGCACGTCGCTGTTGAGGTCAGGTCAGCAGCAGCAGGTGCATTTGCCAATAATTGATTGCATTTTGGCATGAAGCTGTTGCCATTTGCCATTTCCCACTGCTACTGCTGACTGCTGCTGCTGCTGCTGACTGCTGCAGTTGGTTTGACAGCCGCAGCAGCCATTTGTTATGCCCAACAATAGAATATTGTTTGCCTTTTTAGTTTTGCAGCTAGCTGTGCTTATAAGCACTTAATTTGCAACGTGCTTGGCATTCATCGATCTGTTTCCTGTTTCGTTTTTGTCAGCTGCAATTTGTAATTTGATAAGCAGCTAAAGTGATTACAATGCCACTTCACTTTGCAAATTTAATTACTCGCCTGATGTCATTATCAGAGCGAAGTGCAGCGCAGGACAAAGATCCTTTGTGGGCAGCCTCTATTAAAGGCAAGTCCACACATGCCTCCATTGCAACTGAGCCGGCGATTAAAGTTAGAGGAGAGTTAAGCTGCAAGAGAAATGTTGAAAACATTCAAAGCTCCACTCCCAAATCACAGCGTATGCAGCTCAAAATGCTCGACTATTAGATATCCTGTATTTAGCGCATCATGGCCAAATCCAACTAAATCTGAAGCCTGCAGTTAAAGTTAGAGCAGAGTTAAGATCCTTGACAAATGTCCAAAATCATTCCTAGCTCAACTTTCAAATCACTGCGAATTCAGCTCAAAGTGCTCGACTATTAGATATCCTGTATCCACCTCCTCATGGCCACATTCAACTAAATTATGGGGGCTACTTTAAGACATGAATAAATCAACTCAGCTCGTCGTGCTGACGGAGCTGCGTCCCTCTGCCCATTAAATACATTTGCTGAGACTGGAAAATCCAAGCAGGCAACAATTTTGGGCAGAAAATAAACACAATGATTGCACGTCCCACTCGGGCTGGCATTGGTCAAATGTCCTCGGTCCACGATAATGACAAGCGACGCAAGCGGCGCAATTTTCAGTGTCCTTGGCCATGTCTTGGCAAACATTTCGTATTGTATTTAAAAATGAAATGACAACATTCCGGAAAATCCACGGCTCGGGCTCAGTCAGACAAATGAAAATGGCTTAATGCCCAAAGCAGTCCGCCGGATGATGATGATGGGCGATGATGATGATGATGATGATTCCGAGTGTCCTGCGAGGAAATGTAGACGTCACATAATACTCTATTTAACAATAGGAGATTGTTAGTGCATTCTTTATATGCGAATAATCCAAAATAAGTTTGTCTCATCCATAAATCAGGCCAAAAACATCGTTAACTTTTGGTAATACACTCTCAAGGTTCCTGGCTCGAAGAGATTAGCAAAGGATAACCTTGTTTTTCGCTGTATTATGGTCGCAATTACCAAACATTTTTACAGCTCCAATGTCGCCAGAATGTCTGTCCTTATATCCTGGCTGGGGCCGGAGCCTTGGCATTGAGTGTGCTTTTGCGTTTGATTTCCCAACAACAAAAAAAAAAGAAACGAAAATAAAAACTTGGCAACTTTACAATTTATGTAAATTACCTGATTTCAAGTTTTGGGTAGACTTGAATGAAAAATAAAAATGGAATCTAACAAAAGGCAAGGTTTGTTGAGAAAGTTGTTAATACCTAGCCAACAATTGTTATATTTTAATTTTATTATGTAGAAACTAGATTTCTTTTTTAAATACTATTATACCAATTTCTTCTCAATCTTGTTGTCAAAACGTGAATACGCAATTCATATTTGAAGTTAAAAGAGAAAAATGTTCATTAACAGGCGATACCCTTCCTTTTTTGGATGCCTTTGCTATGCAAAACATTTGTTACGGACAAATTTATAAATGATTTTGTAATCTTTATGTTCTTATTTTCAAGTTTCGGCGACACCTCGTCTTCTCTTCTTCCTTTCTTATACTATAATTGCTTTACAACACTAGATGTTGTGACTGTTAACTTTTAAAAGTTTTCAAATTTCAATCTTCTTTCTATTTAAATGTTGATCATACGAAATTAAAAAAAAAAGAAAAACAATTAAAAGCAAGGGATGTGAGGTTGTTATTATCAAAGTTTTGATTATGTACATTTTTAATACTGAAGTATATTTTATCTTATCTTTAATCGGAATTTATAGCACTTACCTAGAGTACAGCGTATCTGCCTGTCGGTTACTGCCAACCAAAAAATTATTTGGCATGCGCTTAAGGTCAAGGCTGCGGAAGTTCTTGTTGCCGGAAGTCGGCAAACAGCAAAGCGCTAACGGTTTTTACTTTGCGCTTATCTCTGCGCTTAATTAAAGTCTCAGCGAAAGAACGGAAGATATGGTATTAACAGGGTTGCCAGACAACCGAAAAAAATCGCAATGCTTGGCAGCTACCTGCGGCGCACAAAAGCAGGCAACGCTCGAGCTATGCAACTGTGTGCGTGCGTATGTGTATGTGTGTGTGTGTGTGTGTGCAATGGAAAATAACAATGGCCATTTTGCTCGATGTTGTCCTCGACGCTGGCGCTTGAAGCGTGCAAAAATTGTTCAACTAGCAAGCAAGAGCAAAAGAATGCTTTCAATTACATTCCCTCCCTCTCCCTCTAACACCCGCCCGCTCTCTCTCTGTCTTACGCTCTGTCTGTGTTGAAACATTTGTTGTTGCACTTGTATTTGGCTTTTACCGCTAAGTCTGAGTCAATCTGCGCATTTCAATTCAACTAGCAAGCAACAGCAAGAGAATTAAATTCCCTCCCGCTCCCTCTAGCACCCTCTCCCTCTCTCTCTCTCTCTCTCTCTCTCTCTCTATCTGTCTCTGCCTGTGTTGTATTTAGCGAAGCTTTTACCGCTAAGTCTGACTCAATCTGCGCATTTCAATTACAGGCAACGGTTTAATCAACGAGACCGAGTTTCTGCAGTGGGTGGGCAGAATCCAGGCGCTGCGGGATGATCAACAGCACGACGAGAATTCCAGCAGTGCCAGCAAGCCGGTGGACGAGGCCGACGACATCACCGAGGACTTGATAGCCGCATTTAGGTAAGCTACCCAAAGCAGCCAATCCTCCTTATCTGGAATTAATCAAACTTATCCGCAGGGTATTCGATCGCGATGGCAACGGGTTTATAACGCGAGATGAGCTGCAAACCGCTATGGAAATGATTGGGGAGCCGTTGAACGAGGCGCAGTTGGAGCAGCTGCTCGCAATTGCCGACTTGGATCAAGATGGGCGCATTAATTACGAGGGTAAGTAACACACACACACACACACACACGTGCTGCACCCACAAAGGACACAACTGACGCAGGCAAGCTTAGAGTTGTTGTTTTTTTTTGGTGCGAAGGACTCATAAAAAATGAAACCGCAAAATGCGTTTACTTTCACTTTCACTTTTACCGTTATTGTCTGTGCGTTAATCAAGCCGCAGCATAAAATGCGCACACACACACTCACACACACTTACACACACTTGGGCATATAGCCTTGTGCCAATATTTGCGAGAGCCTCACTCATAAATCAGCTAGACAAATAGAAAGGCGAACACAACAACTGGAAGTTAAAGTTGAATAAACCCAGAGGCAATACAAGTCGCCCCTCTTCCCCCCTCCCCCCTCCCCCCTTCCCCACACTCAAGGCCCACCTGGCACTTTTTTATCGACACATTATTTGTTTAGCTGCACGGTTTTTTTAATATCAATTCCCATGAAATTCTGTCTATCCTAGACAAAACACAATAAGATTTAAGCTTGAGTTGAAGCCGGTTCCAGGATCGTTTTAATTTTGCAATTTTAGACAGAATCGATCGACGCACACAACTCGACAACTTTTATTTAACAAACTCGCCCACGATCTCCTTTGCTTTGTATCGATACCATATATCGATACAAAAAGTACTTAGCACTAATTCTTCAATTACTATCGATTATATGTAACTATCGCCAAAAGTTATTAATATTTAACAGAGGTACTTTTTTAACTTAATGTTATTTATATTCTAATACTAAACCCGATACAATATGTACTACTACGCAATTATTTCACTTTTCGAGGGTATTTTCGTGTATCATTGAACTATTGCCATGCTGGCAGAATGAGGCGAAACAAACAGTTGGCTAAGGACACGTTCTATGTGTCCCCTGCGTAGCATTAAATTGATTTACGAAACACAAACACAAATGTCCCATTCAGGCTCAAGTATGCCTCGGCTATATCTACACATATTAAGCTGCATGTGTGTGTATGTGTGTGTGTTTGTGTGTTTGTATGTACTTGGACTTGGGTTCATCATTAGGTCGCATTACTAGTTGATACTTTGGGCTTGTTTCTCTCCTCCGTATAACAACTTATTTGCTGGCAGCTGCAATTTATTTATTTTACCTTATTTAGCTTACATCGGCATGTGCGGCCAGTAGAAGCAGCATTTGTTGTTTCCTTTATACCCTTTATTTGTTAAAAAAGGGTTTGCTCGATTTTATTATCCCAAGTTCTTTTCTTATACTTTGAAATAAAGGGTACCTCCAATTCGATCCCTTTTTTCCGTTTAAGTTGTTTGTTTTCTTTTGCTGACATTGCACATTGTTCCGGGCGTTGAGTGGGAAATTCGCAGCGCAACACGTTAAATTGGGTTCTCAGAATGTCCCATTGGGAATTGCCTTTCATCAATTTTATTGGAGGCGTAGACCATTTCCTCTCCATCAATTCCCTTTACACTTGCCGATGGGTGTAGGTAGGGAATTTCTCTAAGTAAACTGACTTTAATTTCTGCCAAAAAATCTTTATGCTTTACTCAACAACTTTTTTACTTTCATTGCAGAGTTTACGAGACTTTTGCTGTAAGCGAACAACACGACCGCAATTACAGATGGATGGCAAGAGTTCAACTAATTAAACCCAATTTTGAAGCGATTGCTAACATACTCAGACAGAATTCATAAATGTTTTACAAAAAAAACATAAATCTAATTATTTATACTAAGAACCTGAGGGAAATTGTAAGAAGCACCAGCACACACACACACACACACACACACATAAAAATCGAACTTTGATTTGATCCTCATCAAGTTCCCAGGGATTTTCCCTTTGAATATTCACTTGGACACGCCCACACACACAAACACACACACACACACATAAAAATCGAACTTTGATTTGATCCTCATCAAGTTCCCAGGACTTGGACACGCCCACACACACACACACACACACGCACACACACACATAAAAATCGAACTTTGATTTGATCCTCATCAAGTTCCCAGGGATTTTCCCTTTGAATATTCACTTGGACACACACACACACGCACACACACACACACGGCCACACCCTAGTTTCTAAATCATTTGTAAAAACGCCAATTTTTAATATTCATTTTTTGTACGACCTTAGTTAATAGTAAGACACTTTGTATGCTTTTGATGCAGAATACAAATTTAATTTATTAATAACATTAACACACACACACACACATACATACATACATACATATATATGCAAATTCGGATAAGTCTGAGAGCGTGAGTGATATTGTGTTTAGGGTGCTGCATCGACAAAACAGAGCATGAATAAAATTTAACTATTGCATATATATACATATATATTTAAATAAAGAGTTCATCTGTTTGTGTCTTAAATAAGTTGAAATGCTTTTTGTGTACACAAAGAAATCAATGAAAAAATTTACAATTTAAATAAGAAATATTTAAAAAAAAAAAAACAAAAACTTTATCAATTTCAATTTGGATGTTATTAAAAAAAAACCCAATGAACATTATATTATATTAAATGTCTAGATACGTAATTGTTTAGCTATTTCAATTTATGCAAAACCTGCAAAACATTAATAAAAAACTATTAAAGCTCTTAATTATAAAGCAAACAATTATCAAAATGCAATTCAATTGCAAATAAATGGAAAATCTCCAAAAAAAAAGAAAATCTGTTATGGAATTTTCCAAATATATATTTAATAAAAAAAAAAATCGTTTTTTTTTTTGACAAAATCAAAAACAACAATTATTTTACAGTGTATTCCTATTCGTATTCATCTCAAATAGCTTCCATATGTTTGCTTCCTTCAAATATTGTGTATTTGAGTTTATTTTTGTTAGATAAGAATATTGCAAAATTCAAGCCGTCCCGGTACATAATATACAAATACTTGAAATTGATCAAAAAACGAAATTATATATATATATTGATTTTGCCATGGGTTTCAAATTATGTTTGCAGAGTTAGCTCAAAAAGAAATATATATAATGAAGTGCTCTTTGATAATGTCAGTAAAACAATTAGAAATAATATATATATTTAGATCAATATACAAGCAGGTGTTTTCAAAAATAACAAAAAGATCAAAAGAAAAAAGTGGTACAAATAGTCAAAAGTGAAATATAACATTCAAGGAAGGCAACACAAAAACATTTTTGTATGGTATTTACAGCTATCGGATGAGAGATATAATTAAACTATTCTCCAAATCGGATCTAAATACGTGAATATATATTCAAATTCAGTTTGTTTCAATAAATACCCAATGTATATGAATATCTATTCAATAAATACCCAATTTTTCACTAAATACCAAATATATATGAATATATATTCGAATACAGTTTGTTTCAATAACTTCCCTATGTTTCCATAAATACCCAATTTTTCACTAAATACCCAATGTATATGAATATGTATTCAAATACAGTTTGTTTCAATAAATTCCCTATATTTCAATAAATACCCAATTTTTCAATAAATACCTAATGTATATGAATATCTATTCAATAAATACCCAATTTTTCACTAAATACCCAATATATATGAATATATATTCGAATACAGTTTGTTTCAATAACTTCCCTATGTTTCAATAAATACCCAATTTTTCAATAAATACCCAATGTATATGAATATGTATTCATATACAGTTTGTTTCAATAAATTCCCCATGTTTCAATAAATACCAAATTTTTCACTAAATACCCAATGTATATGAATATCTATTCAATAAATACCCAATTTTTAACTAAATACCCAATATATATGAATATATATTCGAATACAGTTTGTTTCAATAACTTCCCTATGTTTCAATAAATACCCAATTTTTCACTAAATACCCAATATATATGAATATATATTCAAATACAGTTTGTTTCAATAAATTCTCCATGTTTCAATAAATACCAAATTTTTCACTAAATACCTAATGTATATGAATATGTATTCAAATACAGTTGGTTTCAATAAATACCCAATGTACTTAGCTTACGTAGATTTTGATGACATCTAATTGTGCTTAAAATATTAAACTCCAATAACTATAACTATACTGAATACTTACTATATACATATGTTGTTTTTGTTACACGAAATACCATTAAAAAACTATTTAATATAACTTAATGGGTGGCATACAAACAAACAAGATGAAGACATTATCAAGTATATGCATTACAATTTTAGGTATTTTCGTTTAAGGATTTTGACGATTTCGTCATTTTTAAATGTAAAGATGTAATAAAATGAATAAAATATATAACAATATACCAACGCTCAACCGAATATGTTTTGTTTATATGACTTTTGAAATGTCTACAGAAGGCTTTGCATTTTTATTTCGGCTCTCTACTCCGACACTTCAGTATAACATTCACAAGTACTAAAGAAACATTCAGTAAGATAAATATTGTCGCTCAATTGTCGACGTTTCTAAATTTTACTCTGTGCATATCGTGTATATTTTATAAAAACAAAAAAAAAATAATCATAATAGTTGTGACAGTGTAATTGCTTTGAAATCATGAGCGATCTAGACGACAAGGTAAATATAAAAAAAACGATTTCTGCGAATTTTCTGTGTTCAGGCAAAAGTTGGTTTTCAAAAAAGACCAAACTATTTATCGATAAGTCTTGTTGCAACAAAATGCACCGATAACCAGTTTAACCAGTTCGCGATATATGAACCAGTTCGCACGTGAATTTACCCTCGCGGAGCGCATACGAAATCAATTTTTTACAAGGAAAACGACAGTGCAAACTGATAACTGTTATTTAACGTTATTGTGTTGTATTAAAAAGGGTTGCACTTACCCAGAGAATATTTAGCGAGTGTTTAAAATAAAGCCGCAAAAGTGGATACCGATACCGATACCGTGAAAGTCGAGGATTTGATGGACTCTGATCCTGACATTGAGTTCATTGAAAAGGATAGCGGGATGTCTTCGTTAGGTGGCAGCAAAGACGAGACGCCAGAGCGCCGCACAGTCGCAATTGTAAGAAGAAGACAGCGCCGCTGAGCTTATCTTGCTCACGTAATTGGAGAACTAGTCCATACAAATTTGCACATGTACTTATTGATTATTACAATGCATTTCTCTATTTTTTCTTTCAGCCAAACGATGATCCGCAGGCGGATGCTGAAAATTACGATGATGTAAGTGCGTGCGATGTTATGTTTGTAAACATCGCCGAGCCGCCGCAGCATATACATAGCCTTCATTTTAACCTCAAATTTCGATGTTTTTATTGTTGTTTAGGAACCGGATGAATCGTTCGGCGAACGGATGTTGGGACTCTCGGAAATGTTCCCGGAATCGGTGCGGAATGTGGCCAGCGCCGTAACGAGCACCGCGGTGAAGAGTTTCCGCAGTCTGTATCAGTTCTCGTGCAATGCATCGTGGATATTCTTTACCAGCTCCGTCATACTGTTTGCGCCCGTCATCTTTGAGACGGAGCGCGCCCAAATGGAGGAGCTGCACAAGTCACAGCAGAAGCAAGTGCTGCTTGGTCCTGGCAGTGCCATGGCCGCAACTGGACCATCGCCCAGTTTACCATTGATTCGTTAATTTACATTTGAAATATACATATGCGCATACGTTAGTTCGGATTTGCCAGCGGGACGTCGAATCAGTCCAAGTGCAAGTCCAAGTCCCTGCCAGTGAATTACACACACACACACACACAAACATGCCACACAGCAATAGATATTCCAACAAGAACAACAAAAGAGCCACAGCCACGCCTCAAGCATTTACCATCGCGATGCAGCATAATCTTTGGACACATCTCGGAGCAGTTGGCAGAGTATTTTGTAGTTGGCCTCCTAAACACATCAAATTCTAACAATTACTGTTTAAAGAAATTAATAAAAAATACGTTTATTAAGAGTTAACAGCTGGAGATTTGTCTACGGCCCGCCCAGGTACTCGCGCGGAATGGGATGCTCCATGAAATAGCGCCGGAATTCGCCGGCATATTTGTTGCGCAGGCCGCGCTCTCCATATTCGTTGAAGCGCTGCGCCAGAAAGACGTAGACATCGAGCACCTTGGCGTGGGCCGACAGCTGCTTAAAGGATTGCGCCGCACGTTCGAGTATGTCGAGGGATTTGAGGAGTTGCGGCTTGCGCGCATCCGCATCTTTGATGGAGAGCAGGCAGCGCACAAAGACGAAGTCGGTCTTGGCCCGTTCGTATAGGCCGCCATTGATGTGAATGTCGTCCATGCTGCGTTTGATGGCCTGGTAGGCCTTCTGCGGCATGAACAGCATCAGCAGGACCTGCGCCAGCAGCATGTCCACCATGGCCAGCTCGTAGTCCATCTGTGAGTCCGACATATCCTCGGCGACGCGTAGCAGCAGCGTCACCGCCTCGCTGGAGAAATTGCCTTCGGCCAGGCTGCAATAGGCGAGCAGCACCTGGACGCGCATCCTCAGCAGAAAGGGTAGCTCCGACTTGGCGGCCAACTTGTCCAGCAGCCGGCGTGCATTATAGAACTCACGTTTGGCCACATAGATGGCGGCACGCTGCTGCATTGCAGCCGCCGCATCGAGCAGATGCAGCTGATCGCAGGCCTTGAAAGCGTCGTGCCAGCGACAGCGATAAATTCCCGACTGTATGATCACATGACACTGGCTGATCATCCAGGACTCCGCGCTGGGCATGCGCGGCAGTTGCTCGCGCGCCCGATGCAGCAGGACCCGGGCGAGACGCAGCTCGCCCTGCAGATGCAGCCACATGGCATAGCTGGCCAGAGCGCTGCCCAATCCCGCCGATCCGCCGCTATTGAAGCGCTGCCGCACCGACAACAACAGCTGGGCATACAAAGCGGACAGCTCGTGCCGGCCATAGGCGCACCAGACGGCGCTGCGCAGCGCCAGCGCTTCGGAGGCATGATTGGACAGATTGTTGCGATTGGTCAGCTGGTCGCTGTGCTGCAGCAGATCGAACAGACGCAACGGCTGATAGCCGGCGACGGTGCCCAGCTTGACGGCAAAGTGCAGGGCCAGCGTATAGTTCTGCAGCATATTTCCGTCCGCATCGCTGATGTCGGCCACGCTGCGCTGCACATACGAGAGCGGGAGTTCGTCGCGGAGCAGGCAGTGCCAGGTGTTGGCCAGATTGAGGCTGCGCTTGTCGCCATGCTCCTGGGCGAGCATAATGCTTTCCCTGAGCGCGGCCAAGGCCTCGTCGCGATGCCCAAAGGCGGCGTGCAGCACGGCCAAATTAATGCAAAAGTACTGATAGCCCTTCTCCTGGCTCATCAGACGCACCGGGGATCGATCCAGAGCCCGATGCAGCGCCGCTAACGCATTGTAATAGTCGCGGACGCGCAACTGATTCATGTAGCCGAGGAAATAGGCGGTCGTATTTAGTGGCAGATCCTGTATGATTTCCTGCACCTTGCGCTGCAGCTCCTTGGGCGACAGGGCGCTGCTCTCGTCGTTGTCCAGCAGCTCCGACTGTTTGTTAATAAAGAATTTCGCCTGCTTGGGCGCCCACTTGCTGAGCGAATTGCTCTCCATGCTCTCGCTCTGCTCCGGCTTTACGGCATCTACTGCCGCCGGCGGCGGCGTGTCCGCTCGGTGCAGCACTCCGCCGGCGATCAGCTTGCGTGGCCCAGCTGCGAGGGCGCGAATGCCGCGTTCATAGTACGCGCAAGTGTTTCGGTACATGCACATCATTTCGGCGAAGGTGAAGCGCTCCAGGACGACGGCAATGCGTCGCACATAGACGCCCACCATGCTGAATTGGCTGACGCCGTAGTCCTCGTTGAGCAGCGTGTCTATGTTCTGCATTTCCGCAAAATCGAACAACGCCTCAAGGCTGGCCGTGCCACAGAACTCGGACATGGCTTTCTCGAACGATTCCAGCATCAGATTATCGAGTTTGTAGGGACGCGTGGTCAGCATATTGTGCAGCTCATTGTACGTCATGTCTGCTTCCTGGACCAGCTTGAACATTAGCATGCAAAACATGCGACGCCGTTGCGGACGCATCGTTATCCCCGTGTCCATGGAGCTCTTTTTTTCCTACGAGTTTTAATTTATTTTTTTTGTTGCTACTTATACTAGCTTGGAGCTGTGGTCGTATGCACTTACCTTCACATACTGTTTTAGCAGTATCAGGACAGCGACTTTGTGTGGTGTTGGTGTCTCTATGCGCGGAGGCACCAGCTTGGAGCTGGGATCCAATGTATCCAGCTCCTCAAATAAATTCATTGCTTTTTTTGCCGGCACACAATATACACAGCCGCAGCCAACTTCACGTGTTGAGGCAAAACTCGGAGCTGCCAACTTGTTTTTAGTAACATATGGCAACTTTTTGTAGCAACATATGGCAACTATTATTGGCGGGCATTCGAAAACATTGAATAAATAAAAACATTTGGAAACATTGCATATACAAAAACTTTGAAATCGGGTGCAACTGACTACGTTATTCTCTGTTCACAGTGTAAATGCTCCTAAAAAGGCCAGCGTTATGCGTGGCCGCTATTATTTTTGTCTTAATCCTCACAGGATGTCATCAAAAGTCTTACGTCAAATTGCGTGACTGGCTGTTCGACTGGGGAGTTGCGTTAATACGGACGGATAGCAAAATTTTCATTGCACAAAACCAATATCAGCTTTCTCACTTTGTGCACAGCGTGTAAAACTAATGCCGTAATTGATGGGGTCAAAGTCTATGAGATATCTAGACAAGTCAAAGTCAAAGCATGTTTGCCTAAAAATGATTTGTTTTTGTTGAGCGTAAATGCATAGTTCAACAATCTTCTACCCATTTACATATATTTAGCGAAGCTAATTAATTCTAATTTATGAATTGGAATAAGTACAGCGTATTCGCTGTAGCTGCAACTGCAGTTTGTTCATGAATCCATTTACAGGACAAATGGGAAAATGGCACGACGTGCCCTTGGGTAGTCCTTGAATTCCTTCTTGTAGTTACGATGCTTGGCAAGAGCCCACACAGTCATCTGGAATGCACCAGCAAAGGCAAACAAATAGGCGGGCAAGCAGGAGGTCATGACCGAATAGCAGACCCAGGCGCCAATCTCATAAGTGTAATTGGGGCACGATACCAGGCTACAAATGGAAATCAATTAAAAGATTTAAAGATTTAAAAACTTCAACAATAAGAAGAACACGCACTTGAAAAGCTTCGTCAGGGGATTGCTGTCGGCCACAGGAATCTTCCGCACCTTGGTGCCGGGTGGACGCAGATTGCGCAGAGCAATGTGTATCGAAAAGTTGCCCAACTCGCAGAGCTAAAAAGTACGAAATTTATTTAAGAAAGAAACATTTAAACGTTTTGTAAGGTAAACTCACAGCAAAGGCGGCCAGCGCAGCCCAAACAGTGCACATGCACGGCGAAGTGTAGAGCGGATGATTGACGTGGTACGACACATACGCCGTAAAGCCCCAATAGTAGCTGCAGTTCTTGAACAGATTGCGCAGCGGCATAGTATTGTGCGAGAAGCGATGCACAAAGATCGTCTCCAGCAAACGCTTCACATAGTGAACCGTATAGCAACCGGCGGCAATGCTGCGGAAAAATTCAAAATATTCAACAATTAAGAAAGCAGAAAGCAAGGTAGACAACGATTGGATATAGTATTTCGATTTTGATATTTGGCTTAATAAAGCTCTAAATGTTTGAACTGCAGCAAATTCAGCTATTTTTAAGGCTAAATTTGGCTTTTTTTTTAAGGTCCTTGGCAGGAAACTGTGAAATTTTAAACCGATTTAGCTATTTGCACGACTGCAATATACCCTTTGGTCGTGCCATATGTATAGGGTATACAAAAATCGTTGAAAGCGTTAAGTCTATTCATTATGCAGCCAGCAGGTAAAAGCGAGTCAAACGCTGATCAGCAATAATTTGCATAAGCATTCGCTGGGTCAGCGGGTCGCGTGGCTGTCTCTGTGTGCGTATTAAACGATATGCGTGAGTCTGGCGAAAGTCACACACACACACAGAGAAACCTTCCATACTTACTGAGTGGTCAGGGAGATGGGATTGCCGGCGGCCTTGCCGTAGACGAGCTCCGGACGGAAATAGAAGATTAGGTAGACAATTAAAGGACCGGCATATTCGGCCAGGAAGACGGTCTTCCAGCCGATTTGCGGTCCCAGATCCTTAACGTAGACCTTGTCCCCATTGCCCAGGTTCAACGAAGCCACGGAATCTGTGTCCCTCAAGCTCCTGCCACGCGGCTCCAAGCGTCTTAGATACAAATAATTTCAGAGTTAGGACATACGTAACTATGTGTGTGTGTGTGTGTGTTGGTATACTTACAGCGATATGCGGTCCGCATGCGGCGCCTGCTTCAATGTCTTGTGAATCAGTGTCCGCAGCTCGCTAATGGAGACCGCGGTGGAGGACACATTCACTGTGCCGTATGACTTAGTTGTTTTAGCACTGAGTACTTCAAGCTCCACCATTTTTCGTGACTGTCACTATTTGCCGTCCGGTTAGTCTTTATTTAGTGATGTATTTTGTGCACAGCGAGTGGTAAGCATACGCAGAAAGATTTCGTATGTTATTGTTAGTTATTTAACTCAAAATGGCACTGTTAATGTACAAATGTTAATATGTGACGTCAGAATTATGTATGTCCAGCTACCATTGCTTATCGTGTCATATTTGTTATCGTTGTAAAATTTAAGATTTTCAGTTGGCCAGTCGACTCAGCACGTAAAGCAGGTCTTGTCTTGAATTTGTTAGAAAACCTTTTTATTTTAATTGTGTGGTGAGTGTGTGTGTCTAGATTTATAAAATATATAAAAAACAAATAGTAAGCCATGAAAATGTAAATCGTCTAAAGATATTTGTCAAAGAAATCCTATTTCAATTCGCTCATTTTGCGTTTGACTTCCAAAGTGAACACTTGAAACTAAAAGAAATTGTGTAAATTCAGCAGAAAAGCAATTAATATCTAATAATAAAAACGCAACTTTAAGCAAAAGTATTGGAAGTAGAGGGTGAGTAAAGCAAACTCGAGTTAATTTTAAAACGAATTGCGGTCGCGGTAAATTCAACGATCTGGCAACTTAATAATTCACCAACTGGTAGCCTTGGACGCATAGCTCGAGCGAGATAACTATATACAACGCTCGACAACTGCAATTGTGCATCACGACACGAAAAGTATAAAATTTAGATTTTTCTGTCGAGCTGCTTTCATTAAGGTAGTACTTCTATATGAATACATTAATTATAACAGTATATAAAAACATTTCGCCTTAAAACAAGCATGTTATACTTATTGGCAAATTAATAATATTTTTGTGCAAGCAGGCTAGCCCTAGTACACAACAATTTCCCAAAAAAATATCCCACATTACCCCTGCAGTTGACGAAGGCTATAAAAAGCGAAGCACAAACTAATTTCGTCCAAGTAATCAAAAAGTGAAGCCAGTGAATTGACAACGCAGCAGCAAATAAAACTGAACAATTTTTTTAAGTGATTTAGGTGTGAAATATTAATAATAAGTTAAAGCCAGTGATTCGAAAAGTGAGTTTATTTAGAATATAAGGCGTTATTGATATTGTAAATTAGTGAAAAAAAATTTTTTGGGCTACAAAAAATTATACGTAACGCCATTTTTTTTTCTTTGTTACGTACTCATTTATAATTAGTTTGTTGGAAAAATCAATACTCAGTATCTAATTTTGCTTTTGTAAATTAATGCGTTTTTCACACCATGCGAACTTTGTATTTTGCAATTTACATATTTGTTGTGAAATTAGTTTATGACGTCATAGAACTTTCCAGAAGGCAATAATATATATATATGTGCATACGTATATGTACATGTACATGTATGCACAAGTATGTATATATGTGCATGTATAATTATTATATTATATATTTGTTTTTATATCATATATATAATTTTATATTGCAAAGGATGTTCTATGTATGCACCTACCTATTCAATACTTATATGTATGAGAAATTTAAACAATGACACGGTGCAATGGCCGTCTATAAAAGGGTCTTTTTATATGTGTGTACATATATATATTTTATAATATATGTGTATGTATGCAAGTGAACTGCAAAGCCATGCTTCTATGTATATAACTTTTTAATACATATTATACACAAAAAAAATAACACGTCGCACGCCCAGACAAGTATGTATGTGTATGGGAAATTTAAACAATGACGCAGTGAAATGGCCGTCTATATGAAGTTCCTTGTATATACGTACATATGTATATTTTATAATATAAATATATGCAAGTTAATTGCAAAGACATGTTTCTATATATGCAAATATTAAAAACATATACACAAATAAATAATGCGTCGCACGCCTAGACATCTATGTATGTATGTGTATGGGAAATTTAAACAACGACGCAGTGCAATGGCCGTCCGTAAAGGGTCTTTGTTTGATAATTGACAAGGGAGGAAATGGTCCAATGTGAAAAAGTGTGTACACATATTGTACATATGCAGTCAGAACAAAGCAATCTTGCAGAAGTACTCATTTTTCGATACTTTTTTTAAGTCATCGTCAAAGCCATATCATTTTAGTTTGCGTCGAGGTCTGTTCAAATGAAATTCAATTTTATTTTCTAATTTTCTCTTTTTATTTTGCAGAATTATCAATATGCAGATCTTCGTAAAAACTTTGACGGGAAAGACCATCACCTTGGAGGTGGAGCCTTCCGATACGATCGAGAACGTTAAGGCCAAGATTCAGGACAAGGAGGGAATCCCTCCAGACCAGCAGCGTCTGATCTTCGCCGGCAAGCAACTGGAAGATGGTCGGACTTTGTCAGACTATAACATCCAGAAGGAGTCGACCCTCCACTTGGTCCTCCGTCTGCGTGGTGGTATGCAGATCTTCGTGAAGACCCTGACGGGAAAGACCATCACCCTGGAGGTGGAACCTAGTGACACGATCGAGAACGTGAAGGCCAAGATTCAGGACAAGGAGGGCATCCCTCCAGACCAGCAGCGTCTGATCTTCGCCGGCAAGCAGCTGGAAGATGGTCGGACTTTGTCAGACTATAACATCCAGAAGGAGTCGACCCTCCACTTGGTCCTCCGTCTCCGTGGTGGTATGCAGATCTTCGTGAAGACCCTGACGGGAAAGACCATCACCCTGGAGGTGGAACCTAGTGACACGATCGAGAACGTGAAGGCCAAGATTCAGGACAAGGAGGGCATCCCTCCAGACCAGCAGCGTCTGATCTTCGCCGGCAAGCAGCTGGAAGATGGACGCACTCTTTCCGACTACAACATCCAGAAGGAGTCGACCCTCCACTTGGTCCTCCGTCTCCGTGGTGGTATGCAGATCTTCGTGAAGACCCTGACGGGAAAGACCATCACCCTGGAGGTGGAACCTAGTGACACGATCGAGAACGTGAAGGCCAAGATTCAGGACAAGGAGGGCATCCCTCCAGACCAGCAGCGTCTGATCTTCGCCGGCAAGCAGCTGGAAGATGGACGCACTCTTTCCGACTACAACATCCAGAAGGAGTCGACCCTCCACTTGGTCCTCCGTCTCCGTGGTGGTATGCAGATCTTCGTGAAGACCCTGACGGGAAAGACCATCACCCTGGAGGTGGAACCTAGTGACACGATCGAGAACGTGAAGGCCAAGATTCAGGACAAGGAGGGAATCCCTCCAGACCAGCAGCGTCTGATCTTCGCCGGCAAGCAGCTGGAAGATGGTCGCACCTTGTCGGATTACAACATCCAGAAGGAGTCGACCCTCCACTTGGTGCTCCGTCTGCGTGGTGGTATGCAAATCTTCGTGAAGACCCTGACGGGAAAGACCATCACCCTGGAGGTCGAGCCCAGTGACACGATCGAGAACGTGAAGGCCAAGATTCAGGACAAGGAGGGCATCCCTCCAGACCAGCAGCGTCTGATCTTCGCCGGCAAGCAGCTGGAAGATGGTCGGACTTTGTCAGACTATAACATCCAGAAGGAGTCGACCCTCCACTTGGTCCTCCGTCTGCGTGGTGGTATGCAGATCTTCGTGAAGACCCTGACGGGAAAGACCATCACCCTGGAGGTGGAACCTAGTGACACGATCGAGAACGTGAAGGCCAAGATTCAGGACAAGGAGGGCATCCCTCCAGACCAGCAGCGTCTGATCTTCGCCGGCAAGCAGCTGGAAGATGGTCGCACCTTGTCGGATTACAACATCCAGAAGGAGTCGACCCTCCACTTGGTGCTCCGTCTGCGTGGTGGTATGCAAATCTTCGTGAAGACCCTGACGGGAAAGACCATCACCCTGGAGGTCGAGCCCAGTGACACGATCGAGAACGTGAAGGCCAAGATTCAGGACAAGGAGGGCATCCCTCCAGACCAGCAGCGTCTGATCTTCGCCGGCAAGCAGCTGGAAGATGGACGGACTCTCTCTGACTACAACATCCAGAAGGAGTCGACCCTCCACTTGGTCCTCCGTCTGCGTGGTGGTATGCAGATCTTCGTGAAGACCCTGACGGGAAAGACCATCACCCTGGAGGTGGAACCTAGTGACACGATCGAGAACGTGAAGGCCAAGATTCAGGACAAGGAGGGCATCCCTCCAGACCAGCAGCGTCTGATCTTCGCCGGCAAGCAGCTGGAAGATGGTCGGACTTTGTCAGACTATAACATCCAGAAGGAGTCGACCCTCCACTTGGTCCTCCGTCTGCGTGGTGGTATGCAGATCTTCGTGAAGACCCTGACGGGAAAGACCATCACCCTGGAGGTGGAACCTAGTGACACGATCGAGAACGTGAAGGCCAAGATTCAGGACAAGGAGGGAATCCCTCCAGACCAGCAGCGTCTGATCTTCGCCGGCAAGCAGCTGGAAGATGGTCGCACCTTGTCGGATTACAACATCCAGAAGGAGTCGACCCTCCACTTGGTGCTCCGTCTGCGTGGTGGTATGCAAATCTTCGTGAAGACCCTGACGGGAAAGACCATCACCCTGGAGGTGGAACCTAGTGACACGATTGAGAACGTGAAGGCCAAGATTCAGGACAAGGAGGGCATCCCTCCAGACCAGCAGCGTCTGATCTTCGCCGGCAAGCAGCTGGAAGATGGTCGCACTCTTTCCGACTACAATATCCAGAAGGAGTCGACCCTCCACTTGGTCCTCCGTCTGCGTGGTGGCATGCAGATCTTCGTGAAGACCCTGACGGGAAAGACCATCACCCTGGAGGTCGAGCCCAGTGACACGATCGAGAACGTGAAGGCCAAGATTCAGGACAAGGAGGGCATCCCTCCAGACCAGCAGCGTCTGATCTTCGCCGGCAAGCAGCTGGAAGATGGTCGGACTTTGTCAGACTACAACATCCAGAAGGAGTCGACCCTCCACTTGGTCCTCCGTCTGCGTGGTGGTATGCAGATCTTCGTGAAGACATTGACGGGAAAGACCATCACCCTGGAGGTGGAACCTAGTGACACGATCGAGAACGTGAAGGCCAAGATTCAGGACAAGGAGGGCATCCCTCCAGACCAGCAGCGTCTGATCTTCGCCGGTAAGCAACTGGAAGATGGCCGCACCTTGTCGGATTACAACATCCAGAAGGAGTCGACCCTCCACTTGGTCCTCCGTCTGCGTGGCGGCTGCCCAGCTTAATTTAAGTAGAAAGGCGCATACAAATCTAATGGGCAAAACTAATTATCGAACACTGAAAATCAAGCTACAGAGTTGCCAAATTTTTTAATTTCTGCAAAATAACACGACCGCAAGAAAAAATTCCAAATTTACAAGTTCAAGCATTGAGCCGATTTTACTGTGACTGCTGTTTCTTCTGGCTTAAAATTGTCTTGCTTCAAATTCCAAATACAATTATAATAAATTAATTATTCAAAGATAAATGTTTTATTTATTGTGGTATTGTGATCGCGCCTAATTAGTGGGTGGGTTATGTTAATAAAATGTAGACTGGATATAGTTGAACTTTCTGTTAGCTACTTTTCGGGATTTAAATCGGGCGTTGCCAAATTATGCTCGGAAAAATAATACAGAAATTCAAAACTATTTTATTGTGGATGTTGCCAGACTTCAACCATGTCGTTCTAACGTTTCTGTGTGAATGGCGTTTGATTCGTTAAATATGTAAACGTTTCGTGGTGACTGTCAAAAAGGGTAAGACGGAATTACAAAGTGAATGCTGCCCGTTTATTTTGGACAAGTTAAAGCAGCTAAACTTGCAAACAAAATGGCAAAGGTGCTGCAACGTGTGGAAACCACGCTGCGTAGCTTCTATGTATTTAATTCCAGCTTTGGCCAAAAGGAGGGCGAGGTGAGTTCAAGTAATTCGTTTGTTAGCAACGCCTACAAATCGTTGATAATCAACAGGAGCACAAGAAAATACTGTTCTATCATCCGAATGACATTGAGCTCAATACAAAAATCAAAGATGTGGGCCTTAGTGAAGCCATCATAACCTTTACCGGGTGAGCGCCAGCGCCTGCTTCTGCCACACCCAATAAATGACAGATTTGTTATTTGTTTATCGATTTCCCAGCACGTTCACGAACGAGGATGATTGCAAGGCTCTGCATACGCAGAAGACAACACAGCTGTTCTATCAGCCGGAGCCAGGCTTTTGGCTGGTGCTGGTGCTCAATGTGCCAAAGGAGCTCAAGCTAAAGGACGGCGTCGAGGTGGCCGATTATCGCGGCGGCGACGTCTCCGATCGCATATACCACGCCGTGCTCCGCCAATGCTATCACATGTATCGCTTCCATCATGGCACGCTGCAGGGCAAGTTGTCGCAAGCGGCGGCAGAGGAAGAGCGCCAGCAGCTGGCGGCCGAGTTGCAACAGTTCTATGAAAGCTATTTGGCGAATATCAAGGATTTGGCACACTGCGACATTGTGGACATGCTGCACTCGGTCCAGTATCTGGCGCTGGACAAGGCGCTGTTCCTGCGCGCCCACAACTTTAGCATGCTATGCGATAACTTCCCCGCCGTCAAGGAGTGCATCATGCTCTACAACGAGCAGGTCGTCTGCGGCGGCAAGCTGACCGCCAGCGATCTGTACAGCCTGCATGCGCACATCCCGACGGCCACATCCGCAGCTGCCTATGGTTCGGGCGCCTTTGTGCGGGATGCGAACGAAGAGCAGGCGCCCCGTAGAGTATTTTTGGAGTGGGAGGGGCAAATTAAGCCATACTACTTGCTCATCTATCGGGCACTAAATGTGACGCTCTGCCTGTTCCTCGATGGTAAGCGAAGCCCGTCCAGCCAAGCCATTGCCTTAATGCCGATTTACTCCCACACAGCCCGGCAAGCTGCACCGGCGCCTGACTTCTATGAGGAACTGGACACGTATATGGGTCCGCAGCTCAGCTGCCTGGCGCGCGACATTGCCGCCGAAGTCTCGAAGCTGAGCGTGGGCATCGCTGCCGCCCAGGAGAGCACCTCAAATGATAACTCGCCCAAATATCTGTTTATCAACGAGCAAAGTCTGCAGCACCACACGAATATCTATCGGAGCGCCAAGACGCCGCAGAAGAGCCTGCCGCGCAACGTGATGAGCATCATTGCTGATTTGGCCAATCCCATTGAGCATGGTGCTGCGGCCACCGAGGAGCTGCAGGTGAAGACAACCAACGATTTTTGGGTCGTGAAGCGGCGGTGCAACTGGCGTCAGTACTATGTGATACTTGGCAAGAGCAAGGCGACGCTTTTGGATGTGACGCAGGAGGCGAAGCGTATATTTGAACAGGAGCTCACAGATGATGTATTCTTTGACAAATAAACAGTAGAATTAGATAAATAAATGGCGTTTTCCAATTGTATTTGCTGCTGTTTTGGTTTCTTGCTTCCGGCTGCCGCCAGCAGAAACCACAGCACGCGCTGAGCTGCGTCCGATGTTGTTTTCAAGCCAGCACCGTGGTGCTACTCGTGCTTGCCGGATTCAGCTCAGTGCTGGCATCGTTGTACACGCTCGTCGAGGACGACGAGCTGGTTGTGGCCCCGTTGCCGTGGCCTTTGCTCAATTTCACAATGTAAATTTTACGATTCGACATGCAAATGCTGTAGCTGTGGTGCTCATAATCGATGCTGATGCGCTCGCAGCTGCTGTTGGGCATGAAATTGTCATCGATGCTACAGCCGCAGGAGAAACATTAACATTAATTAGTTATTCTTTGTTTTGTCTCACAATTTCAGTTCAACTTGCCTTTCGGTAAGATTTAGCAGACCCATTATTACATTGGCGCTGCGATCATCGTTCTTCAGATCTCCGCCTGAATCTAGCACGGCACCATCATCTTTGAGTATCAAGTAGCCAATTTGATTGGGCACAATCTGCTTATCCTTGTCCATATTTCAAGTTCTCTAGCTAGAATGTTTATCTTTATTGTTTTTTTGTTTAACAGCTGCATTAAATGCCATTCACATTTGTAGCACATATCCCATGCGATATATACAGCGTTGCTTATCGATATCTATTAACACTGCCAGCTCTAACGAATCATGTCACACCGCTAGCATACTAGCATACATTCTGTAAAGTGCTCCCGTGCAGTTCGTGTGAAATTTAAAGCGCTGCGTGAAAAATTAAGTAAAAGAGTTGAAAATCAATAGTTAAACCAACAAATTTGTTGTTAAGCGGTTGAGCGAGATCTAAAGTGTAAGTTACATATTGTTTTCATTTACAATTGTAGACCACAAAGCTTTAAATTGCATTGAAAATCAGCAAGCGTTTATGTGTGTGTATGTGTGTGGTACAGTGAAAATTTTTCGGGTCAACGCCACACCCTCGCTTTCATAAAGCGAAAATCTAATTATGCTTTAGAAATGGGCAAAATATCACAGTAGAACTGTTTATTGCTTAAACAAAGTGTTTTGCTTACTAAATTACCTTTTGGAAAGTGTATAAAGAGTACAAAATTCTGTATCCATGTTTTATGTGAACCATTTTTATAAATACGTACATGTGTGTGTGTGTTGTGTATACGTCATCGGGTTGTGCCGCAACTTCAATTTGAGAGAAAGCGGGAGAGAGAGATATACAGAACAGGCACGGATACAAACCAATGAGGTGTATTTTGGTATTTACAGCAAAGATGGCAAGAGTAATATTTTGTTTGCCCTAAGTCGAAATTTCGCGAAACCTGTTTGACAAAAAAAAAAAAAATGTCCTTGACTTTGGCGGGTTGTTTATTTAGGATAACGTTGCGCAATTTTGTACGCATATTGCCGGCAAGCAGAAAAACCAGTTCTCATGCATTTTGAAAATTTTATTTTGGAATGAAAGCTCTTTTTTTTAACGCTCATGTTTGATACTTATTGCTCATAGTTCCAAGTTGTGCGCATTACGTCATCCAGCTATTTCTGATAGACACTTCAATTAATGTATGTTGCCGCTTCGCTGTGTATCGCTCATGTGTGAGGTCTGTGCCAGCGGCTCTGTGAATGTATTCAAAACGAGAGCGCGCTCGCTCTTTCGCTCATTCCAAACAAAAATGTACTCCATGGCACGGAGTCCATGTACGCCCCCCTCCCTCCCCCCTCTCCGTGTCTTTGCTTCGTTCTCTTTTTGTATGTTGTTTTTGTTTGTATAGCACGCCACAAACAGTTAAATTGCCTTCAATTCGTTTATGTATGTTTATTTGTGTGTATGTGTGTGACTGGGCGACATTTGACTTTTGTATGGCTGCTTTGAATACAAACCCCGAATCCGGGCCTAGGCTATGTTATTTTTCAATTTCCTGCCGTGTATTAGGGCGATGCCGTTAAAAACTCGCGTGACTAAATTATATTTAGATATTTGTATACATGTTCGTTTATATTTTTCGTCACCGAACCACCCTGCTTTGTAAAACTTCTTCTTCTTCTGGCGATGATGTCATTTAAGTAAAGCCAATTGAAGACACTTCTTGCAACTACTTTACTTTGCTTTGCTCTTTGACCTCCAGTTTCATTTCTATACATGTAATACATATCTCGACTATTCCTATTAGAACATTGATTGAAGTCTTCATGTGGGTATATATGCATTTCTAAAGCTTTGTAGCACAATGAATCTTAACTCTTTGCCCCAATTGTACTTTTATTTACTAAAATTAACAATAGTTTTTTAAGTATTGAGTAATATATCAATTCTGTGTTGTACTCTTAGTTTATTGCACGTCAAACGAAATAATATTGGTAACAAAAACATAAATAAAACAAACTAACTAACCTAGCGTATAAATATGGTATTCTAATTTGTATAATTTCCTTCGTAAACTCTATCTTAATTCGGCACAAATCTAGAGTTAGTTTGATCTTTATACGTTTGAGTGTGTGTGTATGTGTGGAAAAAGAAAAGAAATCCTAAACGAAAATAAACATCGAAACCAAGAAGAAAAAAAAAGTGGCCAAGAAAATGAATAAAATGAAATAAATGAAAGCAAGCAAAAGACAAAGAGCGTACAAGCAATATTTCTCTTCTCTCATCTTCCGTTACAGGAACGGGGCCTGAGGGAGAGAGAAAATGTTGTGAGAACGAAGCTTAAACGTAATATAAACAAAAACAAACGCAACATATGTAAATAAATCGAACAGCAAATGGAACTGGAACCGGATCAGGAGCTGGAACAGTTGTTTAAAAAACTGGAACTTGTCGATTTGGCTTTGTAAGAGAAGTAAAGCTTATAAGTAATATACACAGAAACACATGTGAATAAAGCAAACAGCAAATGGAGCATGCAAAGCAACTGGAACTGGAACTGGAACTAGAACCAGAGCAGCAGCTGGAGCAGTTGCTTAAAAAACTGGAACATGTCGATTTGGCTCAGCTACCCGAAAAGTTCCAAGCACACTTTCAGCAAAAGCCGAGCAACATTTGCAGTCTGGAGGATTTCGCAATTTACTATTTGGCTGCACTGCGTCAACATACGGAGCTGCATTTTCGCGCTGGCACCGAATCGGAAACCCCTAAACAACACACGCCCGTGCGCCTAGCAAAACCCCCGCCCGTAGATCAGGAACTGAATGAATCCCCGCTCAGTCAGCTGAGCGCGGGCAATGTGTCCACGCCGGTACGACAGGTGACTCCGCTGCAGCAGCAGCAGCAGGGACGTCGCTCGGCTGGCGTCACGCCGCAAAGCAGCGAGCGATCGACTAACCGAAGTGGAGGAGGCGGAGGAGGAGGAGGCGGGGCTGGTGCGGGCAGCTTTTGTCTAGCGGATTTTATGACCCATACGACGCCCAATCAGAGCCAACAGCGCGCGAAGAAGAAGACGACGACGACAACGCCGCTCGATAAATCGCAGAAGCCGCGCCGCCGCGTGCTGCCCATGACCATCAGCCGGAACGTGTCCGCGAGCAGCTCCTTTGGCGACACCAGCTCCTTCAGCAACGAGAACAATCTGCTGCGTCTCTCGCAGAGCTGCGAGCTGGACCGCAGCCAGGGCGCCGAGCTGGAGCAGGAGGCGCGCAAGACGCTGCTGCTGCGCCGACAGGAGATCAAAAGCGAAGCGCCCGTGGAACAGGAGCGGGAAAGGGAAAGGGAACGGGAGCGAGAACAACCGAAAGTAATGTCAATTAGTTTGGAGCAGGTGCGCCATGCCAAGCAGCTGCAGCTGCTGGCGGCGATCTATGCGCTGCTCATGGATCTGAATCTGGTGCCAAATGTGCTGACCGAGATCAGCTACGCGCTGCAGTTGCTCAACATATGTGATGTGGCGGGGGACAGCAGCAGCTCCCCCCAGTCGGAGCCACCGCTGGCTCTTTTAGCTGGCCACAAGGAGTGCATCTATTTTGCGGCCAAGCTGCTGGAGCAACAAAAGGATCTGCTGCTGCAGCTGGATCGCAGCTCGCTGGCCGTGCTGCTGCAGCACGAGCGCCTGTCGCTGCTGCCCAAGGCGCTGCTGGAGCAACTGGAGCAGCAGCAGAGCAAGCGGGCGCCGCGGATCACGGAGGAAACGGAGAACAAGGCACAGCAGAATGTGCACTATCAGCACGAGAAGGATGCGCGCGATAAGTTTCCCAGCCAGCAGGAGTTTGGGGCATTCAAGAGCCAGCGCGATCTCTTCTACAAGTCGCTCAAGCTCTGGGAGCAACTGCATCTGAATCGCCTGTTCAGCTTTGGACGAGAGCTCGGGCCGCCTGTGCGGGACATCTTCAGGCAGTCGGAGCATGTGGTGAATATGTCGCACTTTGCGGGACTCTTTGTCAGCCAGCTGCTCATGTCCAGCCGGGAGACGCACGAGTCGCCCGAGGAGCTGGGCCTCAAGCTCGATCAGCAGCGTCTCAATAGGCTCGCACAGCGTCTGGTCACCAGCAATTCGAGCGTCGAGGATCAGTTCCCGCGCACGCAGGCCTTCTTTCGTGATTTTATTAGTGAATGCGGTTCGTTGGCGTTTCTCGTGCAGCTCCAGCTGGCGCTCTATGTCCAGCTGTTGCGCCACAATGACTCCAGCTTCGAGCTGCTCTCACTGCAACCCGATGGCGAGGAGGAGCAGCAGGAGCAGCTGGCCTCACCATATATTGTGCGCCCGCAGGCTCAGGCCGAGCTGCTCATTTTGGCCAAGTTCTTGGGTTATGTTTGCGCCTTTCCCTACAATCGTTCAGCCAACGCCGCCAACACCTGCCAGCAGCAGCAGCTCCAGCTGCGACGCCAGTTCCGGCCACCATTCGAGATGCGGCTGCATCTGGAGCGTGCCATGCGCCAGGGCAAGCTGCTGATCACGCTGCCCTGGCTGGTGCAGTATCTGGTCATGTTGGACCCGGTCACGCTGCAGCTGCCCGCCGCACTCGACACTCTGGAGCTGCTCTATGCCTTGTATGGCGGCGCCCTGGGAAAAACCCATGCGATTTTCATTGCGCGCAGCTGCCTTGGCTGGCTGCTGGAATCTCAGCCCGCGCTTAGCAGTGGCTACTACAGCCACAGGAGGAGCAGCAGCAGCACCACGAAACCGGTTGGAGCTACGGCAGCTCTCGTCTCCGATTGCCTGCGTAGTCTGTGCTTCTCGGACGCGGGGAAGGCGGGATCGCTGCTGGAGCAGCTGCTGCCGGTTGCGTGTCCCTTTCTGCACGAGTTCCGTGTCGCTATTGCGCCCTCGCAGCGCCAGGTGCAGCGCAATGGACGCTATCGTTACATAACCACGCGCCTCGAACAGCTGGGCGGCAGCGGCAGCAAGCATAATCCTCCGGCGGACACTGAATCTCTGGCTGTGCCGGCTTCGGCTCAGCGCAAGCTGGTGGACGCCTTTTTGCACTCGCAGAACGCCTCGATGCGGCGTCTGCTTGAATTCGTGACGGAGCGCAGCTTCAAGTGCGTCGTCAAGGATGCACAACAAACGATACTCCTGCCCTCCAAGTCGCTGGCCGATGCACAGGTCAACGGCATTGAGTCGACGCAGCAGCACGAGGTGCTGCGGGAGCTGAAGCGCATCTATCAGCAGGCACGTGCTCAGGGCTGTCAACAGTGGACGGATCGGGTGCCCGGCATGTTGGAGCAGCGCATTGAGCAGTCGCTGCTGGCGCTGCTGCCCGCCAATACGAATGACGTAGTGCGTCATACGTATGCGCATTTGATCCGGCAGCAGGCGCAGCTGCAGCTGCAACAATGGCTGGAGATTAGCGTGCTGCAGTCGAGCTTCTATCACGGCGATCTGCAGGAGCTGGCCAGCAAGGTGTGTCGCGCCAATGGCCGGAGCAGCGCCCAGGCCCAGGTTGGCGTCAATTCGAATGACCTGTGCCTGACGGCGGCGGGCGACGAGCTGAGATTGTCGCAGACTCTGCGCGAGCTGCAGCAATGGGTGCATTGCCTCAGCATGCGGCCCGAATTTCTGCCCTATTTGGGCGAGCTGCTGCCGCTGCTCGAACGTACGCGGCAGGCGGCGCTGCTGCCGCATTTGCCCAGCCATTTCTATCATTTGCTCGGCTCCATTTTGGTGCGTCTGCTGCAGTTGCTCATGTGCCAGCAGCCGGAGCTGCTGACGCAGCCAATTATCAGCATCAGCTGTGAGGTGTGGCTGGCGCCGAAGGTGCGTTCAGCTGATGAGAATGGCGCCCATCCCATCTATTTGGAGGCATTGCTTAGCGTCGGCTTTGTCCAGGATCTGAGTGCGAATCCTGCGCGCTTTCAGCTGCTCCACCAGCTACTACACAATATGCTAGAAGCACACGTACTGCACGTCGATCAGCTCAATCAGTTTTTCTTGGCACTCTTCAAGGAGGACTGGACACAGCCGGTGTGGAGCGCGCTCTCCCAGCTGCTGCATCAGTTGTCCCAAAGTTGTCCCAGCAAAGTCAACGACGACGACGACGGCAAGTCGCAGTTGTTTATGGAAATGCTGGCGGATTTGTCAAACGATTTGGATAGTTTTTAAGCTTATAAAGTTATAATTATATCATTCTCACATTTATCATACAATGTTTGTCGCTGTTAATAAATACTCTATTTTTTGCAAAAGAATGTCACCTTTTCATGCTCTTCAAGTTCGATAAGATAACAGCGCTGCTTATCGATAATTAAAATTTCCGATTACGTCACTGTCAGCCAAACTTGACGAATTTGTCGTTGTAGTTGGGTCGGCTTGTGAAATACAAAATGATATAGATGTATGTGTGTGTGTGTGTGTGTATGTGAGGCGGGCGATGCAGTCATTGGATAAAAAGTAGAACGAATAAGTGTAGAAACTGTAAGAAAAAGTATAATGTTTACGTTGTGTTTCTAACGGCTGCTCCAAAAAAAAAGCTAAAAATGCTGTTCGAAATATATAAAATTAGCAGAATTAGGTTTCTGATCACAAAAGGTTAAGGTGCTAAAAGATCCTTAATCAAATTTTAACTATTTTCGGCAACCTGTGCAAATAGGCAAACTGAGCTGGAAAATAGCTGAATTGGCAACAGTGGCTCTAGATTAACTAAGCTGGAAATTAGCTGAATTGGCAACACTGGCTCTGCCGCAAATTAAATAGACTTGCTACAGCAAAAGTGCGGTATATTGACTTAGTTGCAGGAATTTTATATACATACTTATGGGTACACATGATACCCTTCTTTTTTTTGTACACATTATATAGTAAAAATCTGGTTTAAAGACTTTATACAGCAGATGTGCGGTCTATTGACTTGCTTGCAGTGTTTTTATATACATATCCTAGGTATCCACCATATTAAAACTTTTTTTTTTCATAATTCACAATTTCAAGTTAAAAAGTCTGGTCACTTTTCAACCACTGTGCGGTACACAAAGTGCGTAATGTGTGTGTTTGTATGTATGCAGCAAAGCTGATTGTCTGTCTGTGTGTGTGTGTGTGTGTCATTGTGCTAAATTTGTAAAACGCGAGCGGAGGTTATGCAATCGACAAAAGCTGTGTCTCTGGTTAAAGCTAATTGAATCTAATTGTGGCTCACTCTCTCTCGTTCATTCATTAATTCTTGATTCTCTTTCAGTTGAGCACGGGCAAACTTTGGCATTTGGATTTGATGAGCAGCCAGGAGCAGTATTAGATTAAATTGAAACTTTACAAAATCAAAGCTAAAACGAACGAAGAATTAAACGAACCAACGTACCAAATATGGAGAATTTTACACCGAAAGAGGTGAAAATCCTCGAGACCGTCGAGGATATTCAGGAGCGTCGTGAGCAGGTTCTGTCGCGCTATAATGAATTCAAGATTGAAACGCGGCAGAAGCGTGAGAAGCTCGAGGATTCGCGTCGCTTTCAGTACTTTAAGCGCGACGCCGATGAGCTGGAATCGTGGATACACGAGAAACTGCAGGCGGCCAGCGAGGAGAGCTACCGTGATCCGACCAATCTTCAGGCCAAGATCCAGAAGCATCAGGCCTTCGAGGCGGAAGTCTCCGCGCATAGCAATGCAATTGTATCGCTGGATAATACCGGCCAGGAGATGATCAATCAGCAGCACTTTGCATCGGAGACCATACAGCGGCGCCTGGATGAGCTGCATCAGTTGTGGGAGCTGCTGCTGAGCCGTCTGGCCGAGAAGGGCCTAAAGCTGCAGCAGGCGCTGGTCCTTGTGCAGTTTTTGCGTCAGTGCGAGGAGGTCATGTTTTGGATCAAGGACAAGGAGACCTTTGTGACGGCCGATGAGTTCGGCCAGGATCTGGAGCATGTCGAGGTGCTGCAGCGCAAGTTCGATGAATTCCAAAAGGACATGGCCTCACAAGAGTATCGCGTCACCGAGGTCAACCAGTTGGCCGACAAACTAATCCAGGACGGTCATCCCGAGCGGGACACAATTACCAAGCGCAAGGAGGAGCTCAACGAGGCCTGGCAACGGCTCAAGCAATTGGCCATTGTGCGGCAGGAGAAGCTCTTCGGCGCCCACGAGATTCAGCGCTTTAATCGCGATGCCGACGAGACTGTCGCCTGGATAGCCGAAAAGGATGTTGTGCTCTCCTCTGACGACTACGGGCGCGATCTGGCCAGTGTCCAGGCACTGCAGCGCAAGCACGAGGGCGTCGAACGCGATCTGGCCGCCCTCGAGGACAAGGTGTCCACCCTGGGCGCCGAGGCGCAGCGTCTGTGCTCCATCCATGCCGATCACAGCGATCAGATACGCGACAAGCAGGCCGAGATCGCCAACTATTGGCAGAGCTTGACGGCAAAGGCGCGTGAGCGCAAGCAGAAACTGGATGAGTCCTACTATCTGCATCGTTTCCTTGCCGATTTCCGTGATCTGGTGTCGTGGATCAATGGCATGAAGGCCATCATTTCGGCCGATGAGCTCGCCAAGGATGTGGCCGGCGCTGAGGCGCTGCTGGAGCGTCATCAGGAGCACAAGGGCGAGATCGATGCGCGCGAGGACAGCTTCAGGTTGACCACCGAATCCGGCCGGAAGCTGTTGGAGCGCGAGCACTATGCCGCCGCCGAAATCCAAGAGAAGCTGGCCGCTCTGGAGAATGACAAGAGCTCGCTGCTGTCGCTGTGGGAGGATCGCCGCATCCTGTACGAGCAGTGCATGGATCTGCAGCTCTTCTATCGCGACACTGAACAGGCCGACACCTGGATGGCCAAGCAGGAGGCCTTCCTCGCCAACGAGGATCTGGGCGATTCACTGGACTCTGTCGAGGCGCTGATCAAGAAGCACGAAGACTTCGAGAAGAGCCTGGCCGCCCAAGAGGAGAAAATCAAGGCGTTGGACATTTTCGCCACCAAGCTAATCGATGGCCAGCACTATGCCGCCGACGATGTCGCGCAGCGGCGACAGATGCTGCTCGCCCGACGCGCCGCCCTGCAGGAGAAGTCGGCCAAGCGGCGCCAACTGCTGGAGGACTCGAATCGCTATCAGCAGTTCGAGCGCGACTGCGACGAGACCAAGGGCTGGATCAGCGAGAAGCTCAAGTTCGCCACCGACGACAGCTATCTGGATCCGACCAATCTGAATGGCAAGATGCAGAAGCATCAGAATTTCGAGCACGAGCTGAACGCGAATAAATCCCGCATCGAGGACATCACCAATGTGGGCAGCGAGCTGATCGAGAGGAAGCACTATGCCGCCGATCAGATCAATACGCGCATGCAGGAGATTGTTGTGCTGTGGGAGACGCTCGTCCAAGCGTCCGACAAGAAGGGCTGCAAGCTGAACGAGGCGTGCCAGCAGCAGCAGTTCAATCGCACGATCGAGGACATTGAGCTCTGGCTGAGCGAGATCGAGGGCCAGCTGCTGTCCGAGGATCACGGCAAGGATCTGACCTCTGTGCAGAATCTGCAGAAGAAGCATGCGCTGCTCGAGGCCGATGTTATGGCCCATCAGGATCGCATCGAGAACATCAATGTGGCGGCCAACAAGTTCATCGAATCGGGACACTTCGATGCCGACAACATTCGCAACAAGGAGGGCAATCTGTCGGCACGCTATGCCGCCCTGGCGGCGCCCATGGGCGAACGCAAACAGCATCTGCTGGACTCGCTGCAGGTGCAGCAGCTGTTCCGCGACCTCGAGGACGAGGCGGCCTGGATACGGGAGAAGGAACCGATTGCCGCGTCGACGAATCGCGGTCGCGATTTGATTGGTGTCCAGAATCTGATCAAGAAGCATCAGGCCGTGCTGGCCGAGATTAACAATCATGAGGCGCGCCTCTTGAACGTCATTAGCTCGGGCGAGACAATGCTCAAGGATCAGCCGTTCGCCAGCGACGATATACGCCAGCGCCTCGAGGCGCTGCAGGAGCAGTGGAACAACCTGCGCGAGAGATCCAATCAGCGCAAACAGGATCTGGACGATTCGCTGCAGGCGCATCAGTACTTTGCCGATGCCAACGAGGCGGAGTCGTGGATGCGCGAAAAGGAACCAATTGCCACGGGCAGCGATTACGGCAAGGACGAGGACTCATCGGAGGCGCTGCTCAAGAAGCACGAGGCACTCGTCTCCGATCTGGAAGCCTTCGGCAACACCATCCAGGCGCTGCAGGAGCAGGCCAAAAACTGCCGCCAGCAGGAAACGCCCGTCGTCGACATTACTGGCAAGGAGTGCGTCGTTGCGCTCTACGACTACACGGAGAAGTCGCCGCGCGAGGTGTCCATGAAGAAGGGCGACGTCCTCACGCTGCTCAACTCGAACAACAAGGACTGGTGGAAGGTGGAGGTCAACGATCGGCAGGGCTTCGTGCCAGCCGCCTACATCAAGAAGATCGAGGCCGGGCTGAGTGCATCGCAGCAGAATCTCGTGGACAACCATTCGATTGCCAAGCGCCAGAACCAGATCAACTCCCAGTACGATAATCTCTTGGCCCTCGCTCGCGAGCGCCAGAATAAGCTCAATGAGACGGTCAAAGCGTATGTCCTGGTGCGCGAGGCAGCCGACTTGGCTCAATGGATACGCGACAAGGAGAACCATGCCCAGATCGCCGATGTTGTTGGCGAGGATCTCGAGGAGGTCGAGGTGCTGCAGAAGAAGTTCGACGACTTCAACGATGATCTGAAGGCCAACGAGGTGCGTCTGGCGAACATGAACGAAATTGCCGTCCAGCTGACATCGCTCGGTCAGACGGAGGCAGCGCTCAAGATCCAGACCCAGATGCAGGATCTCAACGAGAAGTGGAACAATCTGCAGACTTTGACCGCCGAGAAGGCCAGCCAGCTGGGCTCCGCGCACGAGGTGCAGCGTTTCCATCGCGACATCGACGAGACCAAGGACTGGATTGCCGAGAAGGCGAATGCCCTGAACAACGACGATCTCGGCAAGGATCTGCGCAGCGTCCAGACGCTGCAGCGCAAACACGAGGGCGTCGAACGCGATCTGGCCGCCCTGCGCGACAAGATCCGGCAGCTGGACGAGACCGCCAATCGGCTGATGCAATCGCATCCGGACACCGCCGAACAGACCTATGCCAAGCAGAAGGAGATCAACGAGATGTGGGATCAGATTATCACCAAGTCGACCGCGCGCAAGGAGAAGCTGCTCGACTCGTACGATCTGCAGCGTTTCCTCAGCGACTATCGCG